GATGTCAGCCTTACTTTTCAAACACTGGGGGATGTCCATCAAGTCAAAGTGGAGGAGACTACAGTCACCACCTGGATACCCCAGGGATGCTGGGCAGTCGGCCCAGATCCCCCACCGCATGATGGAGTCGGCCCAGCCACCCTGTCTTCTCTCCAGCGGCGGGTATGTTTCTACGAGAGAGGCAGAGGTTGGCTGGGTGAGTAATGCTTTGTTTGGGACAATTTGGGGTACTGTGTTGGTGCTGGCATTGGGGGACTGGAAGTACAGACTAACTTCGGAGTCCACCCGTCTGGGGATTCCTCCTGCGTTAGTCTCCTGCCGAAAAGGGAGATATGTGATGGGAGTGACTTTGGGTGGGGGGCCCATGGAACACAGCTCACTTTGGGTGGGGGGCCCATGGAACACAGCTCACTTTGAAGGGGTGGGGAGACCCGTCTCAGCTCCCAATATCCCTCTTATGTGTAAGTCACCCTGTTAGGGGTGCAGGGTGATCTGCCCTAATATTGGGGTGGGGGGTTGTGGGTTGTTTGGTGTCATGTGGTTGCATCCCATTGCTCAATTGTGTGTCTGGCTTGGGAGCAAACTATTATGGGATGTATGTGTTTGTGTATTGGCTTGGTGGGGGGGTGTCTCCAGCAGCCCTCCCTCCTGATGGGACTGTCTGCTGGTGTGAAGTTTGAATACCTGTGTGTCTCTTGTTATTAAATGTAGATTGCCCCGCCCTGTGTCATTATGCAGGGAGGGGAGATTGCCCCGCCTTGTGTCATTATGCAGGGAGGGGGGATTGCCCCGCTCTGTGTCATTATGCAGGGAGGGGGGATTGTCCTCTGAATGTATATATCTTGTATCTGTGTTCAAATAAACTAGTCTACCTCCTGGCTTACTTCCAAGACTGGTGTCGTCTAGTCTTGTATGGTCGGCTGTGGTGTCGGTTGTCGGTGTTCGGACGGGGAAGCGAGAGTCTAACGGAAATACCCAAGTGCAGTCGGGTCCGGTTCCCTTATAAGGGGGCTTCTCTTACACCTCCTATCCAACAACCCAAGAAGTGGTGACAGGGAAGGTGAGGGCACAGAGTGGCACCAGTTCTGCAGACAGAACTGAATCTGTTGTGACTTTCAGGTGCCATGGGCCTGACAACTAAAGAACAGCGGACAAGAAATAGATGCAAGAGAACCATGGTACCGGAGCAGGTGACAGGAAAAATGATTGGTCCAAACCAAGGTCCGGAACAGCTGGGCAGTAAGGTACCAATTCAGGAGACAGGAACAGTCACGGATCAAAGGTTAGGTCGGTAACGGCTGGCCAGCTGGGTACCAATTCAGGAGACAGGAACGGTCATGGATCGAAGGTTAGGTCGGTAATGGCTGGCCAGCTGGGTACCAATTCAGGAGACAGGAACGGTCACGGATCGAAGGTTAGGTCGGTAACGGCTGGCCAGCTGGGTACCAATTCAGGAGACAGGAACGGTCACGGATCAAAGGTTAGGTCGGTAATGGCTGGCCAGCTGGGTACCAATTTAGACTGGAACATTCATGGATCGAAGGTTAGGTCGGTAATGACGGGCCAGCTGGGTACCAATTCAGACAGGAACAAAGTGGAGATTACAAGCTGAGGGTGGTAAGAGTTGGGCATCTTAGGAAAAAGGCCAGTAAAAGGAAACTGCTAGGCAGAAGATGTCCGAGGCACAAGGCAGTAAGTGTCAAATAGCGCAGATCCAGAGTTGAGTAGGCAGGCCGGGTAGACCAATGTCCGGAGGCAGGTCACAAGGCCAGCCGGGCTATATGTGGGACAGTAGAACTAGCAGGTCAGGGACTAGCTGAAGGTCTCTCAGCAATGCCCGCATCCAGTTTAGAAAGGCCATGGGGATGGAGCTGTTGTATGGTGTGTGCAGTAGACACCTCCTTAGCTTGGCCCCTAGGTGTTTTATTTAGGAATGGAGAGGGGCCATTATACAGCATCTAATGTCCATCTCAACCAGTATGTCGTGGATTCCCCCACCCACTTCCAGGTTTACCTTCACCAGGGGAGATTTTGAACACCACCACCTTCAGAACGCTCACATGAGATTCAGTAGGACAATTTGCAGCATTAAGAAGCATTAGCACATCCACCAGCATTATTACCAGAAATCCCCGCACCTTCTACAGGAACAACCATTGAATGGGGGCTAGAAGGCCACCCGGGGGATGGAAGAAACATGGGAAGGTTTTCGAAAACTAGATAATTTTGCAAGGAATGTCCATCTTAGCCGCTTTGTGTAGGAATTAAAGGACAATATTGGGTGCAATTGGTAACTTAGTCGCAAAATCAGTTGCCTTTAAACCCCTCCGCTCATCTCAATCAGTAATCTATTTGTGTCCCCCTTGGTGGAGTGGAGGTGACCCCTCTATGAGGACATACAGTCCACCCAGCACAAGGCCGGGGTCACACTACCAGACGGTTCTCGGGGCTGCAGTTCCTCTGAGCTCCACAAGGTGGGGATCTCACTTCTACCTAGACAGGAAGTCTCTATGGAAGACAGGAAGTGATGTCAGCTACAGACAAAAAGTTCTGTTTGTGAGGCAATTCAAGAGGATACATTGTTGGAAGTGGAAGCAGAGGAGGTAATAAGATCTGATTTTATATTTACACCCAGTAACCCCCCCATCATGTCCGTCCTCTCCCTCCATTGTCACGCCCGTCCTCGCCCTCCACCGTCGCGCCCGTCCTCTTCCTCCACCGTCACGTCCGTCCTCTTCCTCCATAGTCACTGTGACGTCTTTTATCTACAGCAGATGATGATACACACATATATAGTGTGGAAACCCCTTCAGGATTAACCCCTTCAGGGGCAGAACATTCCCCAACTTCATTATTAATTATCATCCTTACCTGTATAGATCACATGACCAATGAGGATGGAGGAGGACCGGAGTCACATGACTGAGAGGATACTAAACCTCACCCTGGAGATCATCTACCTGCTGACCAGAGAGGTGAGGAGGTTTCTGGGAGGTCACATGACATCACACAGACCTGAACAGAGGTGAGGAGGATTCTGGGAGGTCACATGACATCACACAGACCTAACGGAGAGGTGAGGAGGATTCTGGGAGGTCACATGACATCACTCTCATCTCTATTAATAAAACACAGACCTGACCGGAGAAGTGAGGAGGATTCTGGGAGGTCACATGACATCACACAGACCTAACGGAGAGGTGAGGAGGATTCTGGTAGGTCACATGATATCACACAGACCTGACCGGAGAGGTGAGGAGGATTCTGGGAGGTCACATGACATCACACAGAACTGACCAGAGAGGTGAGGAGGATTCTGGGAGGTCACATGACATCACACAGACCTGACCGGAGAGGTGAGGAGGATTCTGGGAGGTCACATGACATCACTCTGGCCTAGTCTGGGCAATAGACCATGTTCTTCTTGTAGACATGTAGATGATGTCAGATGATTGATATCGGTTTCTCTTTCTCCTGATCTGTAGGATTATTTTGTAGTGAAGAAGTCTAGTGGGGAGCCAATTTCAGGAGGATGGAGCAGGACCCAGAGCCCCACCATGGTGCCTCCCCCTCGTTCTCCGATACCTGAGAGGAACAAAGAGCAGAAGATCCTGGAACTGACCACCATGATGGTCCATCTGCTGACAGGAGAGGTGAGCGGTGCCGGGAATTCTGGGACATTCTCCAGTAACAGACAAGGGATGTGTCTGGATGGTGACTGTATCATTGTGTGTGTCAGGTTCCTATAAGGTGTCAGGGTGTCACTGTCTATTTCTCCATGGAGTTACAATACATTGAATGTCCTTTTGAATGTTCAGAGTGGAATCCTCGGGGATGATAATATTGTCGTAAAAGAAGAGTATAAAGAGGAGGATGAGGAGTATGGAGTGATGGAGGAGTTTCCAGAAGGACACAAGGATATGATGGAGCCACCTAATACCAGGAACCCACCAGAGAGATGTCCCCGTCCTCTGTATTCCCGGGACTCCACACAGGAAGGTCACACTATCCCTCACCATCATCAGGTAGATGGATCCAGTCATGGAAACCCCCCAGAGAGATGTCCCCATCCTCTGTATTCCCGGGATTCCACACAGGAAGGTCACACCATCCCTCACCATCAGGTAGGTGGAGTTGAGGGTCGGGAACATAAAGTGATGGAACACTCTGACATGTGGAGACGATATGTGGACTCCACAAGATGAGATGCTCTATTTGATCTCACATCATAAATCCTTCTATGTTACAGATGTTATTTTCTGACATTCTGTTGGTTTAGGGTGAAGATCTGATGAACATGAAAGTTGAGGGTGAAGTAGAAGAAACGTATGTGAGGGATGATCAGCAATATACGGAGGAGGCTGGAATGAGGAGGACATTCATAGAGGAGGACACTCCTACAGAGATCAGCACAGGTGACCAGAATATATTCTTCTCTTATCTCTGCTCTGTTACCCGCCCCCCCATTGGTTCCTGCTCCTCTGACAAGGCGGTGTAAATGTAGAAGTGATCTGGGGGGAGGATCAAAGGTTCTTTGACTGAAGAGAGGAGTCGTCCCAGCTGGTTGGGACATCCACAGAGAACATCTGCTCCCTCCTATCTCCCTGATCCAGATGGAATCTTGATGGAAGTGTACTAACCCTCTCCTATCTATTGATGATGTTTTTTTCTATTTTTCTAGGACCCACCATGGAGAAACCCTCAAAGGATCGTCTCACTTTATCTCCAGGTTGTAAAATGGAAGATGAGCACATCCCAGAAGATTGTGCCGGAGAAAAGACAATGAGCTCCACTATGGATGGTGGACTTCCCAGTGTGGAGAGACCATGGGATCCTTCTGACCCTGAACACCCTTGTACTGGGGGGGATGGGGATGGGGCCGGGATCCGGGGGGAGGAGACGGTTCCCTGTCCCGAATATGGAGATCCTTTCAGTTCTGAATTGAGTCTTCGAGGACGTCAGCTATCTCACTCGGGGGAAGAGCGGTTTTCCTGCCCTATGTGCGGAGAATGTTTTCTACACAAGTATCATCTTATTGTACATCAGAGATCTCACACGGGGGAGAAGCTTTATTCCTGTTCTGAGTGCGGGAAATGTTTTATAAGTAGAACAGATCTTCTTGTACACCAGAGATCTCACACGGGGGAGAAACCATATTCCTGCCCTGAGTGCGGGAAATGTTTTTCAAAGGGGTGCAACCTCATCAGACATCGAAGATTGCACACAGGGGGGAAACCGTATGCCTGTGCAGAGTGCGGGAAATGTTATGCACAGAAAATAGGACTTGTTATCCATCAGAGATCTCACACGGGGACGAAGCCTCATTCCTGTTCTGAGTGTGGGAAATGTTTTGTAAGTAAATTCGAACTTGTCACACACCAAATGTCTCACACGGGGGAAAAAACCTTTTTCTTGTCCTGAGTGCGGGAAATGTTTTGTACGTAAAACCGAGCTTATTGTACATCAGAGGTCTCACACGGGGGAGAAACCATATTCCTGCCCTGAGTGCGGGAAATGTTTTTCAAAGGCGTACAATCTTTCCAGACACCAGAAAATGCACACAGGGGAGAGGCCGTATTCCTGTGCAGAGTGCGGGAAGTGTTATGCACAGAAATCAGAACTTGTTATACATCAAAGGTCTCATTCAGGGGAGAGGCCTTATTCCTGCCCTGAGTGTGGGAAATGTTTTTATATGAAGTGCCATCTTTACAGCCATCAGCGGTTGCACACGGATGTGAAGCCATACCCCTGTCCTGAGTGCGGGGAATGTTTTAAACGCAACTCACAACTTGTTGTTCATCTACGATCCCACACAGGGGAGAGGCCCTATTCCTGCGCCGAGTGCGGGAAATGTTTTACACGGAACGGAGACCTGGTTACTCATCAAAGAATCCACACAGGGGAGAGGCCGTATTCCTGCCCTGAGTGCGGGAAATGTTTTTCAGTGAAGACCCATCTTAACAGACATCAGATGAGGCACACGGGTGAGAAACCACATTGCTGTCCTGAGTGCGGGAAATGTTTTTCACGAAAGTTTTGCCTTACCCAACATCAGAAAAGGCACACAACCCCCCGAGTGCGGGAAATGTCTTTGATATGAAGCATATCGGGGATCTTACACCTTGATCTACTCTTCAGAAAACACTTCCTCTACCAGGAGGGTGAAGATAGGTGGGAGTGACACAAGGAGTAGAGAGCCGACTGGTTTCGGGAGTCGGCATTCCCCTTCGTTGGGACTGGAGCAGACCACCCCATCACAGAAATCCAGAATTCATAAATAGACCGGTAGATTGTATCGAATGAAACATGAGAAGTCACAAATAATAAAATGTAAATACTGAAGGATAAAGTATTCACTATGGGGGAGGGGCGTGTCTTTGCTGGTTTAGTCCCTCCCGCCTATCATTAGAGGCCTTACGGGAGAGCGGGAAACAAGGAGCTTTCTTAGGTTGGCCCCTCCTAGATGTCAGGACTCCTTCCGCCTTGTGCTGCATTCATGTCCATCTTTTTGGTGGCCTCGCTTTCATCTTCCTGGTGGCCTCGCTTCCATCTTCCTGGTGGCCTCGCTTCCATCTTCCTGGTGGCTTCGCTTCCATCTTCCTCGTGGCTTCGCTTCCATCTTCCTGGTGTCCGCACTTCCATCTTTCTGGTGGCCGCACTTCCATCTTCCTGGTGGCCTTACTTCCATCTTCCTGGTGGCCTCACTTTCATCTTCCTGGTGGCCTCGCTTCCATCTTTCTGGTGGCTTCGCTTCCATCTTCCTGGTGGCTGGGTACAAAAATATACTTTATTCGGGATGTTGGAGATAACGTACGTCATCTAAGATGGACATACTGCATACGCCCTGCTGCTCTTTCCCTTTCTCAGCCATTCTGCTTCTATCATTGGTGTCACCCAGGTCTTACTGCCCATCTGCTCTGGTAAGCTCAGCACTCCCATCTCCATGGCCGAGTACAGAAAATACTTTAGTCAGGACGTTGGAGTTACGTCATCTAAGACATACCTCACATGCCCTTCCACTGGTTCAGCCATTCTTCTTCAATCATTGGTGACACCCAAGTCTTACCCCCATCTGCTCTGGTAATCTCATTGCCCTCTTCTTGATGGTTGGGTACAGAAAATACTTTCATCAGGACATTAGACCTTCAGAATTTCAATGGGCATACCCTTACGCCTTGGTGCGCTTTCCCTGGCTGTACAGTTCTGCTTCTATCATTGGTGACACCCAGGTCTTACTCCCCATCTGCTCTGGTAACCTCAGCACTCCCGTCCCCATGGAGTACAGAAAATACTTTAGTCAGGACGTTGGACTTACATCATCCAAGTTCCCTGGACATACCTCACATGCCCTACTGCTCTTCCACTGGCTCAGCCATTCTCCTATGATTGGTGACACACATTGGTCATTCTGTAATCGGCCCCTGAGGCAGTGACACCCGTACACCACGCTCTCAGGAATCATGGATGGACACATTGGGGTTTATTTACTAAAGCTGGAGAGTCCAAAATCAGACTCCCTTCTGCATAGAAACCAATCAGCTTCCAGGTTTCATTGCCAAAGCTTCATTGAACAAGCTGAGGTTAGAAGCTGATTGGTTTCTATGCAGAAGGGAGTCTGATTTTGGACTCTCCAGCTTTAGTAAATAAACCCCATTGTAACAAAATGGTTGTTCCATTGTATTCACACATGTCACTCGGTATGCAGGTCACGGGACTTTCCTTTATACTGTGCATGGCGCCACTTACAGGAGTTTCATATGGGGGGGGGGGGGGGGTGATTTTTCTTTTAATGAAAAATTCTTCCTTTATTGAGACACATGGAAGAAAAATATATTTGAAATGCTACAATTTTGGCCGTATTCAATATATTTCAATAAATTACAAAATATATGAAAAAATTTTTAAAAATACATTTTCAAATATATTGTACATCTTTAAAAATACAAACCTACATTTTTGGAACGCATTTACAAATATATGTAAAAATATATCTTAAAATAAAATTTTTATTTGTTAAAAAAAATATTTTTCATATATCTTAAAATTACTTTTTTTAAGTGTTAAAAAAAAAATCTTAATATATTTTGAAAATAATTTTTTTTTTTAAATATATTTTTTATATGTTTTGTAATAATATAAAAACACATTTCAACATGGTATGTGTGTGTGTATATGTGTATGTATATATATATATATATATATATATATATATATATATATATATATATATATACATATATATATATATAATGTGTGTGTGTGTGTATATACATATGTATATGTGTGTGTGTGTGTATGTGTGTGTATGTGTATATATATATATATATATATATACTGCATGTTGAAATGCATTTTTTTATATATTACAAAAATATATGAAAAAATTTTTTTAACATATAAAAATTTAATTTTAAGATATATTTTTACATATATTGGTAAATGCGTTCCAAAAATGTAGATGTGTATTTTTAAAGACATTCAGTGTATTTGAAAATGTATTTTTTAAAATATTTTTCAGATATATTTTGTAATAAAGACACATTTCAACATAGAGTGTGTGTTTATGTATTGACTATGGGCAAAAGTTTAGTATTTCAAATATCTATTTCTTCCATGTGGGTAATCATTCCTAATACGCCAACTCCTCCTCCTTTCTTTTTTTTTTTTTTTTTTTTACCTTTTTTGTTGCCTTTTTGCAGCATTGTAATAGAAATGCTGTCGATTTATATGATGACATGGCCTTGATTTTGATGCAGATGTTTGTTCTCCTTTGTGCCCGACCCGCCATTGTCATGTCATTATAAATTTTTGGAGAAAAAAAAAGAAATGTGCACTTTTTCCTGCGCTGCCATTGGACAGATTAGGAGAAAAGTCTATTTTTTTTAAATTTGTTATTTTTTTTCCTCTTGATTATATGGATAATAAAATCTTTGTTTTCGGGGCACTAAATAAAGTTGTGGTGTTTGTTTTTTTGTGGATTTTTTTCTTTGTTTTTTTTTTTTTGTGTTTTTTTTTTGTCTTTGTTTTGTTTTTTGTGGTTTTTTTTGTGTTTGTTTGTTTTTTTGGAGACATATAAATCTATTCCTATATAGCCGTTTTGGCTGCCTCTTGAAGACTCTTCAGAATCGGAACTCTTGGTGGTGTCAGATTTGTTTTCTGCCACGTGCCGTGGTTCTTCTCACCAGCCGTACGGCTGTTCTTGCATCGTGTGTGGCTAGCAGGAGAGAGAAGTCTTAATAGTGAAGTGTAATGTATGCATAAAATACCTTCCCGTGTCTCCCCACCCCCTCCCTCCGCTCACCATGCCATTCAAAATTTTCAAGCAAATAATTTCATTTACAGAAAATGCCTTTTTTTTTTTTTTAGACTCATTGACATCATCGTTGGGAGTCCGCTTCCAAATTGATGGAAGGGGCCAGTAGGCTCACATAAATGGCACAGCGCCCCCCCCCCCAATAACTTTTATTAAAGACATGTGAAAGAACACATCACCAGCATCCCTTTACTGGTGCATGCTCTTTGCTGCTGGCCACTGGGTGCTTCTGACTTTACCTGTGTAATGTGCTGATCAGTTGCTTGATCTGTTAGCAACTGATCAGCAGATTGCACAGCCACAGCGTAAGGTCACCATCGCCTAGGATCCTGCAGAGCAGACGTGATCAGATATTTGAAGCACCCTGAACTCAAAACTAAGAGAAAATGCAACTTCTGAAGAAGATGGCAGGAGTTCCATGCCACGCGAACACAGGAATCATAGACACCAAATACAACAATACTACCTCAGCTAACTAAAGCTAGACACAAAGAAGTGTAGAGCAGAGCAGAATCGGGCTAGAGAAGCAAGGAACAGCAGGTTAGATGGGTAAGGAACGGGCCAGAATGGGGGGCAGGCAGGATCATTAGATTCAGAGGGCAAATAGGCGCACAAAATGCTCAGGCTCTCAGAGATAAGGAAGGCGGCGCTAAAAAACTTGGTAACCAGCACCAGGTGCAGACTACATCCTATGCCCTGCAGTCCTGAACAACAGTGCCAACAGCAGGTGATCCGGCTCCTTACACTCTGCACCATCCAGAGAGCATACACGCCTAAAGGGATGCTGGGGATGTGTTCTTTCACATAATACTCAGGAACAAAACCATTGACGGAGGAGAAAGCAGAGATGGCAATCCAACAGGAACTGAGGGGTGTCGATGATGGGTGACGTCACATCGGGAACTGAGGGGTATTGATGATGGGTGACGTCACATGATGGGTGAACTGACTGACGGGTATTAATGATGGGTGATGTCACATTGGGAACTGAGGGGTAATGATATGTGATGTCACATCGGGAACTGAGGGGTATTGATGATGGGTGACGTCACATCGGGAACCGAGGGGTATTGATGGGTGAAGTCACATCGGGAACTGAGGGGTAGTGATGGGTGATGTCACATCGGGAACTGAGGGGTATAGATGATGGCTGATGTCACATCGGGAACTGAGGGGTATTGATGATGGGTGACGTCACATCGGGAACTGAGGGGTATTGATGATGGGTGACGTCACATTGGGAACTGAGGGGTAATGATAGGTGATGTCACATCGGGAACTGAGGGGTATAGATGATGGGTGATGTCACATCGGGAACTGAGGGGTATTGATGATGGGTGACGTCACATCAGGAACTGAGGGGTATTAATGATGAGTGAAGTCACATCGGGAACTGAGGGGTATCGATGGTGGGTGACGTCACATCAGGAACTGAGAGGTATCGATGGTGGGTGATGTCACATCGGGAACTGAGGGGTATTGATGGGTGACGTCACATCGGGAACTGAGGGGTATTGATGATGGGTGAAATCACATCGGGAACTGAGGGGTATCGATGATGGGTGACGTCACATCGGGAACTGAGGGGTATTGATGGGTGAAGTCACATCGGGATCTGAGGGGTATTGATGAGGGGTGACGTCACATCGGGAACTGAGGGGTATTGATGGGTGACGTCACATCGGGAACTGAGGGGTATTGATGGGGGACGTCACATCGGGAACTGAGGGGTATTGATGGGTGACCTCACATTGGGAACTGAGGGGTATTGATGACGAGTGACGTCA